TATTTTGCCAATATCGCAAAAATGGTGTCAACCTTGATTGATAATTGTTCCTGAAAGGAACAGGTGGGATAAAGGGTTTAGTTGATTCATTGTTATTGCTTACGCTTTCCTTGGTTTTTCCGAAAATGCCGACGTTTTCTTGACTGGCCCTGGGGACAAAAGGAGGGCAGCAGTGGTTGTGAAGCCAGAAAGGGTCTGCCAGCTCGCTGTGATTGATGTTGCTTATACGGATGGAATCACTGGTACTGATACTGTTGGTAAGGTTGAAGATAAAATTGGGTGTATTTGCGAAGGCTTTCACAGCCGGGATCTAATGGTTGTTGTGGGTTTTTCGGGCTCTTTGGCTGTGTTCTGAAGGTTGTTCTTCCTAACGTTTCACCAGTCTCTGTGGCTGGCATCTTCAGAGGACAGGAGGAGCACTCTGTGCTCTATTACAGTTTGTTTGGGAGTTGAGTATTTATAGCTGTGGGATCACCTTTTGTCTTATTCAGGATATGGGTGATTATGGTGATCAGTGTGTTGTTGTTGTGGGTGTATTGTTGTGATCAGGAGGAGAGATTATCTGTCACTGTGATTGATGGGTGTCATTAGCTGGTCTTTTCTGCGCAGTGATCACCGGTCCTTGTGGCTGGGGAGAGTTCATTGACCTTCTGCAGGCTGTATTTTCTGATACTGGAAGCCAAGCTTTGTTGAGTTTTAAATTTCCTTCTTTTTTGTTGAAGCTCTGCTGGTGTTTGTAGATTTCAATGGCTTCCCTGTGCAGTCTAACGTAATGATTGCTGGTGTTGTCCAGTATTTCTGTATTTTGAAATACAGTGGTGCCCCGCATGATAATCCGTTCCATTGAAATTGGTGTCTTGTGAAAACATCGTTTTGTGAAAACTGTTTCTCCACTGTAATACATTGAAACCCGTTTAATGCGTTCCAATGGGGAAAAATCGTCATTTTGCAAAGATCGCTCATAGGGAAGCCATTTCGCAAAGCACCGATCAGCTGTTAAAATTGCTCTCCTGCGAAGCATTGGTCCTGAAAACACCCATTTTGTAAGCGCAGAGAGAGCTGTCAAAATCATTGTCTTGTGAGAAACAGTTTGCAAAGCATGGACCGAAACATCGTCCAGCGAAATTCCCCCATAGGAAACATCATTTTGCAGATCGCTATAGTGATTGCAAAATCTCATCGTCATGCGGATCCATCGTTTTGTGAGGTCATCAACTAGCGGGGCACCATTGTAGAATTTCATGTCCAGCTTGCTTTAGCGCATGTCCAGCTACTGCCAATTTTTCTGGTTGATTTAGTCTGCAATGTATCTCATGTTCTTTGATTCTGATGTGGATGCTTCGTTTTGTGGTTCCAATAAATATCTGGCCACAACTGTAAGATATCCAGTATACTCCTGAAGTGGCGAGGGGGACCCTTTTGTCCTTTGCTGACCATAACATTTGTTATATCTTTGTGGTGGGCTTGAATATTATTTGTAGGTTGTATTTTTTCAGAAGTTTTCCCATGCGGTCCGTGACCCCTTTGATGTTGACAGAAATACTTTGTGGGTAGCTGTTTTTCTTCTTCCGTTTGGTTTTGTTTTCTTGGTTTGATGACTTGTGATTTCATCTTGGAGTAGCCATTTGCTACGGTTAGCAAAGGACGGATGCCTGCCAGGGGTGAGCGGCTGGGGGCGAGGGGCCAAGTGTCTGGTCAACTCAAGCCTCCTGGCGCTGGGTGACCACTGCCTCCAATTGGCTTCCCGGCTGCCATCGGAGACCTCCTGGGGGTCCCCCACCACCGCGATTGGCGCCTTCAGGCTTTCCCGGGGGGGTGTTAGACTGGGCCTATCGGGGAAAGCCCTCAGGAGGGCTTCACCCGGTAGGCCCAGTCTACCCCCTGGGAAAGCCTGGTAGACCGGGCCTAACTGGTACGACCTCCTGTGCCTACCTCCTGGCGGTCCGATCGCGGCGGTGGAAAAGGGTGGGACATTTAAAATTGCTCCCCCGCTGCTGCTATCGGATCCCCAGGAGGTCTCTGATGGCAGCGGGGAAGCCCTAGGAGCTTCCCTGCTGCCATTGGAGACCTCCTGGGGGTCCCTTTCCTAACAGTTGGGGCGAAAGAGCAGCCTCTTCACCACCAACGGTTTGAATGGAACAAAAAAAGGTAGAGGAAATTTGAATCCCCCCCTTTTCCCCTGCCTTTTTTTGTTGGTAGGTCGAAGCTCCGTTCGCAAGTCGAAGTAGATTTTTGTGAACGGAGTCATTCATAAGTCGAATTGTTTGCAGTTAGGGACATTTGTAAGTCGAGGTCTCACTGTACACAACTCCCTCCACAGTAAACAAACTGCACCAGAGCACAGAGTGCTACTCCTGTCCTCTGAAGATGCTGGTCACAGAGACTAGCGAAACATTAGGAAGAACAACCTTCAGAACACGGCCAAAGAGCCCAAAAACCTCACAACAATCATAAAATGGAGTGTTTCTGCATTGTAGTCATTGAAATCCCAAGGTTTGTTGGTTGGAATACAACCTCGCAGTCTTGCGTATCTTGTGGATGTTTTCCATGGTTTCATCAGTCTTATGGTTAAAGAGTCTGGTCCTGTCAAAGGGAAGGTCCTCTATTCTTGCCCTTGTGTTGTCTGACAACCCCGAAGATTTGAGCCAGGCATGGCGTTGAATGGAGATGGAGGATACGAGAGTCTTGGAAGCTGCCTCGGCAGCATGCCTAGCTGCAATCCCCTGTTGCTTTGCCAGAGTGATTGCCTCAGTGTGAGCATTAATCAAAAGTTTTTATTGACTCTGGTGCTGACTTGAGAATAGGGAATACCTTGTTGAAGAGGTGACACTGGTATGCCCCCATGGCTGCCTGGTAGGTGATGTTCTGTAGTAAGAAAGACTATAATGAGTAAATTCTCCTTCCCAAAGTATCTATTTTCCTCCCCTCCTTTTTAGTTGGTGTTGCAGTCGATTTATTATATCCACGAGACTGGCTAAATTCAACGGTACTTGAATTTGGTAGAAGGTGCTTAGATAAAAACTCAGTGTCACTGTGGATCTTGTAGAGGTTGTTGGCGCACCTGGGAATTTGCATGGTAGACGGCAGTTTTTCCCAAGCCTCCTTAATAAGTTTTAGCATGGACTTAATAAAGTTGAGACTCAAAGGCGGAGATGTCATCAAACACTGGATCAGCCTCTGGGGATGGAGGCTCCTTGGTGTTAAGTTGCAATGCCTTAGCCATTCTGGACACCAACTGAGCATGTGAAGAGTAATCCCCTGAAGGAGAGAAAAAATGATTGTCTATTGTATCGGTAGGAGGAGTAGGGAAATCTGGAGATGACTGTGATGAAGAGTCAGATTAAATGTCCTCTGAAGACAAAAATGCAGAAGTTGAAATATAACTGGTATCAGGAAACTGGAGATGTATGGAGGGTGGATGATGTTGAGTTGAAGAATGGTTAGGTTAAGGCTCCTGGGGATCTGCAGTTTCTGTAAAAATAGGTGCAGTTTGGGGTGACTGCAATCTTGAAGAATGACCCTGTTTCTTGGATTTATCTGCCACTTTCGATTGTGCTTTAGCTGGTGTAGCGGTGGAGGCAGTCGATGCAGATTTTCGGGATTGATGTTGACCCTTTGTAGAGGTTGATTGAGTCGGTTCTTGGAGAGACGGGGATGTATATCTAACCCGCTTTTGTTGTATAAAATGACATCATTTATATTGAGATTGCCACATGTATGTATCAAAGAACTGGTATGGGATCATAGGAAAGGGAAAGTATTCACCATATGATGTGGTAGGTTGTGGTGAAATGTGCATCCTCTTTTCCTGACATTTCTTGGGAGATTGAGGAGGGGAATCAGAGTCAGATACTGGACTGTCAAATGCCTGCCCTGATGCAGGGTTGGGATGAGCCAAGGCCGGGCTGGACAGAAGCTCAGTCACAGAATGGCTGACAGTCAGGGACAGGCTCGGTGTCAGAGGAGGAGCGGAAAGTGTTAATGGCTGTGCCTCGTCTCCTTCCGAGGTCCAGTCGGGAGTGTCTCTGGATGACTCCTCCAGTATTGGGGAAGGTAAAGTCGCTTGAGAGGACTCAATACAAGGAGGCTTGCCTTTTTTGTCCTTTTATTGTTTGATTTGTCCTTTCTTTTGGGAAGATTTAGCAGCGGAGCATGATTTTTGTCTAGCCGCTGATTTAGTCTTATTGCCAGTCTCCTTGGATGGCAAATTCGGAGTTGCCGGTTCGGGGGCTGGCTGACTTGAGGTATGCCGCTCGACCGGAGTGCTTGGAGATCTTATTACCTCCTTTGTTAGTGTAGGAGGGTTCATGGCTGCTTGTCAAAGGTAAGATCTTAGCATTTGTAATCTTTGCTTCAACGCTGGCTTCGTTAGCCCTTTACAGGCAGAACATGAGTGGATAGGATGTTTCTCACCCAGACAAAAAAGGCACCTTTCATGGCCGTCTGAGAGTAGGATTTTATTAGCAGAGTTAATGCAGCGTTTAAAAGGGTCTGGAGAGGCTATAAAGAGTGGAAAAACTCAGTAAGAACGGACGGTTGAACAATTGGGGGGGGGGTGGAAGGCCAAAAAGACGGAAAGGCAGAAACGGAATAAACTGACAGGGGGAATGTTGACTGTTTGATTGAAAAGTAGAAAGGATTGAATTATGAGGTAATCGAAAGAGGAAATATCTAATAATCTGTCTGAAGTGTCAATTGAAATTTCTCAATCTTCCAAAGATCTGAGGAGCTCGACGAAAAAAAGGAACTGAGGGGAATCTTGGGTGGGAGGAGCATGTGCCCACTAAATTATTACTTTTAGCTCCAGAATCTTCCGAGAACATCAGCGCAGGCGCAGACAAGGCCCATTTGTGTGCATTCACAGAGGCCACAAAGAAGAACTAAGCCTTCTCTGAGATAATCTTCATAAACCGATGAGTCTTAAATGTAGAAGTAAAATTCTAATCAAGCTTTCCTGGAATTTCTTAATTAAAGGTACATTTTCAAATATGTCTACTTACCTTTGGGCCAGTCGGACCAGGAAGTCCTGGAAATCCTGGTGGGCCTGTTTCTCCCTACATTTACCAAAGGGAAAAAAGTAGACTGTACATAAATGACAAAAGTAGACTGTAAATGACAAAAGTAGAATGTAAATAAGAATCGCCTACCAAAACAAAATAAGGTTAAAGAACTGTGGAAAGATATTTTTGCCCTAATGATGTTGTTTTTTAGTCACTGTATTCTGCATATAAATTAAATAAGCAAGGAGACAATATACAGCCTTGTTGTACTCCTTTCCCAATTTTGAACCAATCAGTTGTTCCATATCCAGTTCTAACTGTTGCTTCCTGTCCCACACATAGATTTCTCAGGTGACAGATAAGGTGGACCCCATGGACCAGAGCATGCCAGGCCCTCCCGTCTTCAACTGCCACCTGGAGTTGGGTCAAATTCATGTTGGTCGCTTCGATGACACTGTCCAACCATCTCATCCTCAGTTGTCCCCTTCTCCTCCTGCCTTCACACATTCCTAACATCAGCGTCTTTTCCAGGGAGCCTTCTCTTCTCAAGAGATGGCCAAAGTATTGGAGCCTCAGCTTCAGGATCTGTTCTTCCAGTGAGCACTCAGGCTTATTTTCCTTTAGAATTGATAGGTTTGTTCTCCTTGCAGTCCAGGGGACTCTCAAGAGCCTCCTCCAGCACCACAATTCAAAGGCATCAATTCTTTGGCGGTCAGCTTTCTTTATGGTCCAAACTCTCACTTCCGTACATCACTACAGGAAAAAACATAGCTTTGACTATTTGGACTTTTGTTGGCAAGCTGATGTCTCTGCTTTTTAAGATGTTCTCGAGGTTTCTCACTGCTTTCCTCCCAAGAAGCAGGTGTCTTTTAATTTTGAGGCTGCTGTCACCATCTGCAGTGATTATGGAGCCCAAGAAAGTAAAATCTGCCACTACCTCCATATCTTCCCCTTCTATTTGCCAGGAAGTGATGGGACCAATAGCCATGATCTTGATGTTGAGCTTCAGACCATTTTTTTGCACTGTCCTCTTTCACCCTCATTACAAGGTTCCTTAATTCCTCCTCACTTTCTGCCATCAGAGTGGTATCATCTGCATATCGGAGGTTGTTGATATTTCTTCTTGCAATCTTAATTCCGGCTTGGGATTCCTCNNAGGTATTCCAGCACGTTTTGCTAACTGTAATCTTTACAGAGCTCATCAAGATAATCCAGAGAGACTATATTTATATCACTTTCCCATTCAACTGTGATGATAATAAATTAAATGTTTAAAGAGCTATGTAGCCATGTGGGTTTATCTGCAGTTATATCATTTGGTGGAGAAAAAACACTGGCATTTAAAGAAAGCAAGAACTGTATTTAAGTAGCTTGATATGATATGATGAATACTGTACAAAGCTTCAAACATAAAATGAATTCTAGTATGTAGAACAAGCTTTTAACAATATCTGAATAACAGGACTGGTGGGATCTAATGAATGGCAATCTGTTCTTTAATGTAGAAGGATTCTCCATGGCTAATGTTCTTACTAGTCAAAGGCGGATTATCGAACTAGAAAAGACCATGATGAGCTCTGTCAGATGCGCTTATATCATTTTGTGGGAAACCCACAACTGCTTCATCGCCAGAAATAGGTTTAGACAAATGTACCAAATGTCTCAGATGTAATTTTTCAAGTATTGCATTCAATTTGTTTCAAACTTGGAGAGCTTTTCCAGTCATAAGTATGGATCATCCTAAACACTGTGATTTTTCAAAAAGTCTACATAAACCCTTCACGGATTGCTGCCTTGTCGTGGCAAGGGGGCTTGAGTAACTCAGAGAAGCTATGGGCTATGCCGTGCAGGGCCACCCAACACGGACAGGTCATAGCGGAGAGTTCTGACTAAATGCACTCCACCTGGGGTAGGAACCGGCAATTGCACTCCAGTATCTTTGCCAAGAATGCCCCCTGATCAGAAACAAAAGGCTAAAAGATATGACGCTGGAAGATGGGACTCTCAGGTCAAAAGGCGTCCAACATGCTACTGAGGAAGAGCGGAGGACAAGTACAAGTAGCTCCAGAGCTGATGAAGTGGATGGGCCAAAGCCAAAAGGACGCTCAGCTGTGGACGTGCCTGGAAGTGAAAGGAAAGTCCGATGCTGGAAAGAAAAATACTGCATAGGAACCTGGAATGTAAGATCTATGAACCTTGGGAAGCTGGAGGTGGTCAAACAGGAGATAGCAAGAATAAACATTCTGGGCGTCAGTGAACTAAAACATAGCCCATAGCTTCTCTGAATTACTCAAGCCCCTTCGCCAAGACAAGGCTGCAATCTGCGAAGGGGCTGTTTCTGGTTACGTCCCTACCCTTTTTGTCCTTTATCATAGCCCTAATGATACAGAGATTGAAAGCTAATAAACTTTTTTTTCATTCTCTATATGCCCTAATAATATAGACAATGGGGAAAAAGTTTATTAGTTTGTCCATTGCTGTAAAAAAATTAGCAGCAAGAGAACTTTTAGAATACTTGTTTTGAGACTAACCAGCATCATGCCAATTCTCTTTTCATCATTCAACAGAAAACTTCAAAGTTCAAAAAAAAATGTTTGGTAAAAATAATTACAAATTAAAATTAAGCACAGAGGTATGCATATTTGAATTTCTGGACTACAGTTCCCATAATTCCCTAGGGAGCATGGGCAGTGGTAGAGGCCTGGCTGAGTTTTGCTGGCCATGCTGCTTGGAGAATTTTGGGTGCTGCAATTGAAAAACACACATATGCATACCTCTAGAATCTATCTTAAGAAAAACACAACAAAACAAACACATAATGTGAAGGACCTCTTACACTCTTGAACCCATTGTACATTTTTGTTTTCATACCCTTCCAGGTTTGGTAACCAATATTTTAGAAGTTCGTAAAGCCAATAAAATAATTAAGAGAAAATGAAATACATACTGCTCTTCCCTTCTCACCATCTTCTCCATCCTTCCCGGGTTGTCCCTGTAACCGGAAAAGTTTCATTTAATTTAGTCAACACATACATTTCTATCTCTATTGCTGGAAATACTAGTGATACGTGAGTATTCAGTTCTCCCTAGCTTTCTCAATCATGAAGAAAACTGAGGCAAACCTTCATCTCTCGCTGACTGATTTTTGAGTCTTGAGCTGAATCTACTGATGAAATTCTGAAGACTATTATTACAGAGGAGTTTAGCCATGCTTTTGCCCATCTGAATATAGGTACAGTAACAGTCTTTCCACGGACATTATTTTGACATCTTGACTCATTTTATTATGGAGGAGCCAGTAGAACTACAGGCATGGAAGGTTGCTAGGAACTCCTTATTCAAAGTTCTATAAATGTATTTGCATTTGGTGACCAGTTGTTATTCCTTTTTGTTTAGGCGCCCTCCCACGCATACATATTTGTGCATTTTCATTAATGCACAAGGTTACAGTGAACCCTCTACTTACAGAATTAATCCGTATTGGAACAGTGGCTGCAAGTCGAAAAGTCTGTAGGTCGAGTCTCCATTGACCTACAATGCATTGAAAACCAATTAATGCCATAACTGGCCATTTTTGTTCCATTTTGGTTCCATTTTTTTTTCTGGTCTGTAGGGTTTTTTTTTTCTGGTCTGTAGGCTTCAAGTTGAACCTAAATTTTGTGGCCAGAGAAGTCTGTAACTCGAAAAGTCTGTAAGTCGAGCAGTCTGTAAGTCGAGGGTCCACTGTAACCAAGCCCATGCTGATTGAACCATTTCCTCCCCCCCTTCGAAATCTGATGTATGCTGAGAGTGCAAAATTCAAAAGAAAAGTAAAGAAGTCCATAATTCTGGAGCTGAATGGTCATTTCAGTTTGTTGAGCTATGCTCAATAAGTCATTTGAGTGATTTTTCTGTAGTCTCTCATAAACATGCTCTGTGTGGGGCTGCCTTTGAAGAGTATTTGGAAACTTCAGCTAGTTCAAAATGCTACAGCCAGACTGCTGCCAGTCTGTTTCTGGGCCTAATTCAAAGTGCTGATTATTACCTATAAAGTCCTATACAGCTTTGGCCCAGGCTATTTGGAGAATTGTATTCCCCCCATATGAGCCTACCTAGCTTTTAAAATCTTCTGGAGAGGGCTTTCTCTTGATTCTACCACCTTCCCAAGCTTGTTTGGTGAAGACATGAGAGAGGGCCCTCTCAGTTGCTGCTCCCAGGCTTTGTAATACATCACCTGGAGAAGCCAGGTTGGCTCACTCCCTTGTCCTTCCATTGTCAGGCAAGGACTTTCCTTTTCAGGCAGGCTTTTCAGTGATAAATGTCTACTGAACACTCAATTTATAAAATTTGTTTTTTTAATGTTTTCAAAATATCTTTCATTAAAAAAAACTTGATTAATGTTAAATTGTTTTTAATATACTTTTGTATAGTATTTTAAACCAGTTATTATTGTATAGTTTTAACTGTTGTGCACCCCCTTGAGTCCCCTGTGAGGAGAAACATGGCATATAAACAATATAAATAAATAAATAGATAAAAATAATACATCACTGTGTGCATACCACACTTCAGAGTGAATGTCTCTTTTAATACACTTATGAGTTTAAATGGGAATTTGAATAAGGAGATGCAGCAACCTTCCATTCTCCTATACTATATAATTATTGCAACAATAATTGCAATAGACACTTTCCTCTGTCTTCTTGCACCATTTACTCAGTTCAAGTATTCTGGTAGTGGTGCCACAAACAGAATAGGAAAGAAAGACAGTGACTGCAATCCCATATATTCTTCCTTCTGTCTGATAGTTAGCATGTAAAGTGCACCAACCACCGATGCTGAAAAGGCTGAAATTGACCAATTCTATGAAGATTTACAACATATTCTAGAACTGACACCAAAGAAAGATGTTCTTCTCATTATAGGGGACTGAAATGCTAAAGTAGGGAGTCAAGAAATAAAAGGAACAACAGGTAAGTTTGGCCTTGGAGTTCAAATCGAAGCAGGGCAAAGGCTAATAGAGTTTTGTCAAGAGAACAAGCGGTCATCACGAATACTCTTTTCCAACAACGCAAGAGGCGACTCTACATATGGACATTACCAGGTGGGCAATATCGAAATCAGATTGATTATGTGTTCTGCAGCCAAAGATGGAGAAGCTCTATACAGTCAGCAAAAACAAGACCTGGAGCTGATTGTGGCTCTGATCATCAGCTTCTTATAGCAAAATTTAAGCTTAAACTGAAGAAAGTAGGAAAAACCATTGGGCTAGTCAGGTATAATCTAAATCAAATTCCACACAGTGGAATTGAAGAACAGATTTAAGGAACTCGATTTGGTGGACAGAGTGCCTGGAGAACTATGGATGGAGGCTTGTAACATTGTACAGGAGGCAGCAACAAAGAAAAGGAAATGCAAAAAATCAAAGTGGCTGTATAATGAAGCCTTAAAAATAGCAGAGAAGAGAAGGAAAACAAAACGCAAGGGAGATAGGGAAAGTTACAGAAAACTGAATGCAGACTTCCAAAGAATAGCAAGGAGAGACAAGAGGGCCTTCTTAAATGAAAAATGCAAAGAAATAGAGGAAAAGAATGAAAAGGGAAAAAAAGAGATATGTTCAAGTAAATAGGAGATAGTAAAGGAACATTTTTGTGCAAAGATGGACATGATAAAGGACAAAAATGGTATGGACCTAACAGAAGCAGAAGAGATCAAGAAGAGGTGGCAAGAATACATAGAGGAATTATACCAGAAAGATTTGGATGTCCCGGAAAACCCAGATAGTGTGCACCATGCAAAAGGCTGGTCTGGAGGAATTCCAAGCCAGAACTAAGCAAATAAAAGCGTGCTCCTTATATACTGCCCCATAGTGCTTCAAGCACTCTCTGGGCAGTTTACAAGTTAATTATGCAGGCTACACATTGCCTCCCCAGCAAGCTGGGTACTCGTTTTACCGACTTTGGAAAGATAGAAGGCTGAGACAACCTTGAGCCGGCTACGTGGGATTGAAACCCAGGTCGTGAGCACAGTTTTAGCTGCAGTACAGCGGTTTAACCACTGCGCCATGAGGCATTAAGATTGTAAGAAGAAATATCAACAACCGCAGATATGCAGATGATACCACTCCAATGGCAGAAAGTGAGGAATAATTAAAGAACCCTGTAATGAAGGTGAAAGAGGAGAATGCAAAAAATGGTCTGAAGCTCAACATTAAAAAAAACTAAGAACATGGCCACTAATCCCATCACCTCCTGGCAAATAGAAGGGGAAGATATGGAGGCAGTGGCAGATTTTACTTTCTTGGGCTCCATGATCACTACAGATGGTGACAGCAGACTCAAAATTAAAAAACGCCTGCTTCTTGGGAGGAAAGCAATGACAAACCTAGACAGCATCTGAAAAAGCAGAGACATCACCTTGCCGACAAAGGTTCGCATAGTCAAAGCTATGATTTTTCCAGTAGCGATGTAGGGAAGTGAGAGCTGGACCATAAAGAAGGCTGAGTACCAAAGAATTGAAGTTTTTGAATTGTGGCGCTGGAGGAGACTCTTCAGAGTCCCCTGGACCGCAAGGAGAACAAACCTATTCAGTCTGAAGGAAAGCAAGCCTGAGTGCTCACTGGAAGGATAGATCTTGAAGCTGTGGCTTAAATACTTTGGCCATCTCATGAGAAGACTCCCTGCAAAAGACCCTGATGTTGGGAAAGTGTGAAGGCAAGAGGAGAAGGGGATGACAGAGGACGAGATGGTTGGACAGTGTCATCGAAACTACCAACATGAATTTGACAAACTCCAGGAGGCAGTGGAAGACCAAGAGGTCCTGGCGTACTTTGGTCTATCGGGTCACAAAGAGTCGGACATGACTTAACAACTAAACAACAACAACAAAAGTGCAAGGACATCTCAGAAATGTGTTTGGGAAACCCTGTAGAACTGCTGGGGTTGTGATGCAGAGAAAAAGCAGAGGAAGATCCTTTCTTCCTTCCATTCTCAAGCATACATCCATGGCACATCTATAAATGGAAAGAAATACTTGAGAAATCTCATTATATTCAGAATTTTATCCAATAAATTCCAGTTTCTGAAATTTTCTGTTTTATCCAGAAATTTCCAGTTTCTACAGAGCTTTACTTAAGTACTTGATCTTAAAAACAATGTCCTCAAAACATTATTTTAATGTTCAGGAACTTGCACCTTTATAAATTATTATGACCCAGTAAGGATAATATTGTGGAAGACGCAATATAAGCAGTCTTCCAGTCAGCCTACTAAGCTTTATACTCATAAAAATTAAATGCCTGAAATCCTATTGCATAGCTACACAAAAGATGTAACCCTTTGAAGTGAAGTGCCTGAAGTTAAGACATCTTTGTGCATATTCTGTGTTGCACACTTAGTTGTGCAACTCAATATAGAACAGATAATGCTTACAAGGATTTCTTAACTTCAGACAGTTCCTTCTGAGAAGTTGCACTGTTTCCATTATGCCAGCATTAACTAGACAAGGGAATTTTGTCCAGTAAGTTTCATGACATGCTCAATTTTATTTCCATGTTAAAGTGTTCAGCACCTAAAAGAAAACAAAATTCTTGTCCCCAAAGGGGGAAAATAGCACTATTGTCATATGTCAACAAAAAACTGTGAATTTTCTTTTCCAATCTATTTGGTGATTTACAACTCTAAATTCATAGTAAAAATAACAGAAAATGCCCAGACTCATGGTTTTATTTCCCCACAAAAAAATACACAATTTTTATAAGCAGACTTCTATCCATGAAATTTGCTGTAGCGTGAATGTTATTGTAGCATTCACCCTTATTATGTATATTCATGTTCTAGGCTATATTCATGTTCTAGGCTAACGTTGCTGAGAGGCAGAGCTGAGAGAAATGTAATAAAGAGGTCTTTAAGCAACCTTTATTGGCATAAAACAGTTAAAACATACAATCCAAAAATAAATTAAAATAGTGGGGGAAGTTTGGTTAGTTTTTTTGAAGTTTGGAGAGTGAGCACTTTAGCAAGAAACTCAGCTACTGGGGTCGTAGTTTCCAGAGAAAAGTCGTGGAGGAGGAAGCCTGTCAGAAGCTGGGGGGGACCAGAGAAGCCCGAGATGATTGGTCCTAGAATTCGGTCTCGGAGATCTCTAAACTTGGGGCAGTGACACAGGATATGCGAAACTGTATCGGGTTCTAATCTGCAAAGGTTACAAGTTCTTTTTTCGAAGGGTACTCGGGCATATCGCCCCTTGAGGACCTCGGAGGGGAAAATATTCAGCCGCGCTAGCATAAAAGCCCTCCTGGTTAGGGGGTTCAGCAGGGAGTGTAAGTAAAAATGTCCAGAGCCAAAGGTAGGGAAGATACCATAGTGGATAGGAGAGCATGTTTGGTTGATACTGGAGACCAGATGGATATACTCGGACTCCCATAGTTTCTCTTTAACAAGAGAGAGTGCCTGATCAAAATTGCTGTTAAAGATGGAATTTAAAGGTATACCAATCGATCCAAGTTTGGTTTCACATAACGTAAACCACTTGGATTGATAATGATCCTTAAGAAGATGAACTAAAAGAGAGTCTGGGTCTGTTTTAAAGAAAAGGCGGAGCCAGAATTTGAATGTGAGTGCCCACGCTACCGATGAGGGTAGATGCATGCCTAACTCTAGGGCTATAGTCGATAGTTTAATTGAAGTTGGTATCCCTAGAATCCGGCGGTAAAAAGAGGCAGCCAGTAGATCTACTTTGTTGTCCATAGCATTTATCCAAATTGGGGCGCCATAGAGTAGGCGGTTAATCAGTTTTGCCTGAAAAATTCGGGTGGCAGCTGGAACAAACTGGTTCCCAGAGTTATAATGGAATTTAGTTATCGCACCAAGAAGGCATGAGGTGGATGCGATTGCAGAATCTCTATGTGTGGTCCATTTGAGTTGAAAATGGAATAGTAAACCTAGATACTTAAAGGATCTCACCTGTTCAATCTGTTGACTATTGGTTTTCCAGTGTAAGGGCTTCCATGATTTTGAAAAGACCATAATCTTGGTTTTCTCAGCGTTAATAACAAGATCATTGCGTAAGCAGTAAGATTGAAAAAGAGAGAGAAGTTGTCTTAGACCAAGACTAGATATAGAAAGGAGAGCCGCATCATCCGCGTATAACAGAAGGGGAACGGGTATCTTATTTAGGAACGGAGCAGACTTTTCGGCTGGCAGCAGCTGAGAACGTAGATCTGCTAAAAAAAGGTTGAATAGGAACGGAGCTAAGATGCAACCCTGTCTCACTCCTCTGTTAATTGGGATCTTTTCTGAGATGGAGCCACTATAGTTAAAACGGACTTGGCAGAAGTTAGCGTGGTGTAATTTACGAATTAAAAAAAGAAGACGTGGGGGAATTCCCCACGCGGCTAGTTTTCCCCACAAAATGGACCTATTGACAGAGTCGAAGGCCGCTTTCAAATCAACAAAGGCCACAAACAGGTTCCCTTTAAAATGATATACATACTTCTCTGCTAAGAACGAGAGAGTTAATGCGTGATACAGTGTTGAACTACCCGGGTGAAAACCGATTTGCTCTTGTCCTGGAAGGTTTATAGAAACGGACCAGGAAGTGAGATGGACCAGAAGATGTTTACTATATAGCTTTCCGATGGTGGAGAGTAAACTGATCGGTCTATAGTTGCCCGGGTTAGAAGGGTCGCCTTTTTTAAAAATAGGAACCAGGATGGAGGTGGAGTCAGTAAGAGTTAGTCAGAGTCAGAGCGAGTGAGAGAGGGCAGAAGGAGATAGAGTGTGGTATTTGGGAGATCTGAGGTGATTAGAGTGTAAAGTGAATAACAACTGTTATGACAAATAGAAGGTAGAGATTGATGATAATAGAAGTTACCTATGGTTAATAATAATAACATCTGTAATCAATAAAAACGTTTTATTTAAAAGACAGTGAAGTTTGGACCTGCGTCTTCATCCTTCCATAATTAATGTTGATTCAGTGATCAACTGGTGGCAGTAAGTGAAAAGGAGTATTGGTTTGCCTTCATGCGCTCTGTGTTTGGAGGGCCAGGCAAGACAAGGGCGAACGCCACAGTTATTTTCTAAGATATTTAATTTTACTTCTCATTGGGAACTCTGTTTCCCTGAAAATAAGACCTACACTGAAAATAAGGATTTTTTTAGAAAGGACATGGTGGTGCCTGCGGGTTAAACTGCAGAAGCCTCTGTGCTGCAGGGTCAGAAGACCAGCAGTCATAAGATTGAATCCACACAATGGAGTGAGCTTCCGTCGCTTGTCCCATCTCCTGCGATCTAGCAGTTCGAAAGCATGTAAAACTGCAAGTAGATAAATAGGTACCACCATGGTGGGAAGGTAACGGTGTTCTGTGTCTAGTTGCGCTGGCCATGTAGCTGTCTTCGGACAAACGCTTGCTCTACAGCTTGGAAACGGTGATGAGCACCACCCCCTAGATTCAGATATGACTGGACATTTGTCAAGGGGAACCTTTACCTTTAGGGTTTTTCAGGATGCTCATAATATAAACCCTACCATAAAACTAGTTAAGTGAAACCCCGCCCTCCACCATTGTGCAGCAACCAGAAGAAGATGACATTACTGTATTTGAATAAATATAGATTATTGTACATGAAAAAAATAAAACTTCCCTTGAAAATAAGGCATAATGCATTTTTGGAGCAAAAATTAATATAAGATCCTGTCTCATTTTTGGGGAAATAGAGCATGTTTTATAAGATCTCTAAATAGCTGGATAGAAAAAAGCATAAAACTCATACATACATACCCATGTACCATGTTTTCCAGGTTCACCTTTCTCTCCTTTGATATTCAGTCCTGGCTCTCCCTTTAAAAGTACAATTTATATGTTATGTTATTCATCTCCTTTGCAAATTTAACTTCAAACTCTAAGACATTCTACACTCTAGCTAAGGAGCTGGAGGATATGATGGAAACCTCACTAGGCTAGCATAACATCAGATATATTCCTGCTATGATTGTTACAAAGGTTTTCCAGACTACAGATTTTCAAATTTTATCTCCCTTCAGCACCACTCACCCTGAGCTTTGTCCCCCTGCCAGAGAAACTGAGGAAGCATAAGAATTTGTGAGACTTAAGCCAATGAATAGCTGCTGTGCCAGAGAAAATATACCAGGAGAAAAGCTAACACAGGACAGAAACGACTGAGGCAACAGTGATGACATAGTGGTAATGACTTGTTTAATATCCTATATTCACTAAGGCCACTAACACACCATTGTGTTAATGGCACAATTTTACTACAGTGCATAGAATCTCTCCGCCACCCAAAGAAATCATGACATAGTAGATTTAGTTTATTTTCTCCCATTAGGAAAGGGATTTATTTGGGAACTTCAAAGTAATTCAGGTATTTCGAGGCCTAACCTTTCCCCTCATGAGATTGAGACAGGGATTTGCCATCTATCTTTGGTGGTGTGGATCCATCCCATGGGCTAGAAGTGCTCCATCAATAGTTTCAATAACTCATTTTTCTTTGCTTACTGAAAATAAGTTACTTTTGCTTTCTAAATTTTGTTATTCCCACCCAGTGGCAAAAAGATAAATGTAGCTAAGGTAGCATAAGGTGCAGCAAATTATAGACCAATATTTTGTATTCTGTTTATTAGCAATTTTGCTTGTCTACAATTTCAATCACAGAGCTGCTTAACTGGGAATAAGTGTCACTAAGTTCAGTGAAGCTTACTTTAGAGCAGACATGTATAGAATTCCCAAGATAGGTTGCTATCATCACTTCTTCACCAAAATGACAGCCTTAAAAAGTTCCTGGCCATGCTAGAAAAGTAACTTTTACAAACTATACTTACTGGTGGACCTGGATCACCCCTTTCACCAGGATCACCCTATTGGAAGGGGGGGGGAAAACAATTAACACTGAGTCTTAAAACACTCTCTTCCATTTCAAACATAATTTTCTAAAGGCATTTTAAACACTAAACAAAAGTAGATGACTGATACTTAATGCTGATGGAAGTACTATTGCAACTGTTTGACAGCACATTCTCTCAGTGAAGATTAAAATCTGTCAACAGGCAACCTCTCAATAATGCACAAGAGGCAGCCAAGTATGAGAAAGGCTGAAAGAAATGGGCATGTTTCGCCTGGAGAAAAGAAGACTGAGCACTTTTCAAATACTTGAAAGGCTGTCATACAGAGGAGGGGCAGGATCTGTTCTCAATCATCCCAGAGTGCAGGACACATGATACCCTATTTTTTGCTCCATAAGACGCACTTCCCCCCCCAAATAGTGGGGGAGAAAGTATGTGCGTCTTATGGAACAAATACAGAAAAAAGGGGTTCAGCCACCACCACCCAGAAACCCCCTACTGCCATGCTGGGAGGCCTCTGAACTAGCACCAGAGACTGCTTGCTGTTTGGACCCCACCATTTTGCACTGCTGGCTTTCCAGGATCTGCTTCCTGCAGCCCACCTGGAAAACCAGCAAGGCCAACAGGCCTATGGCAGCACGCAGTGAAAATAGCCAAGGACCAAAGAGGAAAGAGTAATTGTAGAAAGAACAGGGGAAACCACAAACACAGTCCCCCACTTAGGCAGTTGATTTCCCCACATTTGGGAAAATCACAGGGGTCAGCACATCCAGAATGCAATAGATGAGCCTTACCCCAGAAAAACCACTTTTACAACAATGGCATCTCCCCTGCCAGGTATGAGTTGGAATGTCCCCTAAACCACCTGCCCCTTTCTGTGCTCTGTCCCCCAAAGGCATGGTGACCTCCGGCTGCACCTTCTGATCAGAACAGGGCTGCACAGCTCCAGTCCCGAAAGAGGCCAAGAGAGCTACTCAGTGTTTTGGGGTGCCCCACAGGACCCCATCAGGGGCTGGATGTTCCTCCCACAATCCTCCAGTGCACAGATATTAGCATACCTAATATGTGGGGAAGGCAGGGAAAGCGGGGTAATGCAAACTTTCAGTTAGTGAAGAGGCTGCTTGTCTGCTTCCTTGCTAGCAGTTAGAGAGCTGGGAGAGAGACCTGGGACTGCCTGGTATTGTCATTTTAAAATATAAAATTTAGTTTAAAAGCTGTTTGTTTGGGGTTAGTGCTTGGGTGAAAAGGTGCTCCATTTGAGTTGAAACCTGCTTGTGTAGAAACGTACATTCTTGTCTTTAAAATCTGCTAGTTTTACTTTAAAAGCTGTTTGTTT